GCCGTTGAGGTAAACAAGCAATTATCATATCAACAGTTTTACATAAACACACACTTTTAGGAAACTTGTCATCAGTTTTTTATTTATATATAATTCATGTAATTTTAGATAATGTCTAGAATTGCCTTAAAGGCTACGATTGGCTCAAATTCTTCTTAAAATATCTCTTTTAATCAATTATTCATTTTCTCGTTTTATTAGTGAAGAAAATAATTTATTAGTTTTTGTAATAAATTTGTTAATATATTAGCAAATATACGAATACATAATGCATTTTTAATGACTAAATATAAATCTGTTAACTAATGGCCACTTAATGGGGAAAATAAGTAATTTTGAGGTTATTTCTCATTAATTCTGCACAAAATGTTATGTCTTATTGAGTTTTAGCAAAGAATTAATTCATACAATGTTTAAGCTTTTAGTTATTATTGTTTACTATTAATAAGTATTTTATTATTAATGTTTGAATTGTGTGAATATTAGAGTCAAATGTTGTATAACTTCTTTTAATTTTAGAATTTGGATCAAATTATTTCACACAAAATATTTGTTTGTAATTAAGAGTTGTTTGTGAATAGAAAACAACTTTTTATAATTAATGAGTAGGTTTTCAAAGTCCTATACATATATGCGAACAACTCATATATAATTAGATTTATATTATATTGTGTATAAAAACATGATTTAAATCGAGTGAAAAAAGAATCAAATAATCCCTTAATGTATTTGAGGTTATCCTTAATATCCCTAAACAGCAGTTAATCTAATCTCACAATTTTGTGGCCAATATTTTTATAAGCAATTTATGGCACATTTCCTTATTTAGCAAATATTGAGCACAACGTGCGACCAGTTTATCACTAGTTTAACAGATGATGCGTTACTAATGTCTTATATCGGCTATAATGTCATGTCATACGTCTTCACCCTTTAGGTTCATCCGCACTCAGACGCGGCCAACCTATCGGGTCGATCGGTGCGTAAGTTGAGACGTCGTCGCAATAAGACCCGATTGCCCCGAACCCGTCCCTGGAGTTTCCACTCGGACTGGACTGACTGGGATTACTATCAAACCCCACTTCATGGCGATTACGTGAGCTCTGAGGACATCTACTACGAGGACGACAAGACTATCCGCAATCTGATTGAGTTCGGAGAGAATTACGAGACTTGGATTACTAATGAAGACATCGATGATCTCATTAGAGGTATGTATGAATGATCTCATTCGCACTCATTTGCATCGCATTTGCATTCACAGCCTTTGCAGCTATTAATTCAAAACATTATCAAAAACTAATAAAATGCTAACAAAAAAGGCTAACAATTGATTTGCATTTGAATGACGATTCAAATATAGTATCGACGCCATTGTCTCCGCAAAGCCTGGAAAAAGAGACGAAACAAAAGGAACCGATGGGTGATGTGGAGGAGGAGGAGGTGGCAACACATCTCCCGGTGCCCCGTAAGGCAACAAAGCGGTCAGCGATGCGTTTGACGTTCACTTTGTTGATATACGCGACTCTGGCTCTGTTTGCCCTGACATTCAGTCTAACCAATTACTCGCCACACATCCAGAAACTGTATCGCCGGCCGCCACCCATTTGAACAGCGCTACCAAAGCCATAGGAACAGCGGCTCTCATGACTGCAAATCATGTGTTTATAGTATTTCTTATCTAATAGTCCTTTAGATGTCTGTACTCTTTAGACATTAATCCGATTATTGAATGAATTATGGCTTAACTGTGACGATATGTTTTGCAAAAAAAGTGGTTAATATTTTAATTGATTTTAACAGAAAGTATAGTTTGAGGCGAAAAGACACAAATCTGTGATGAATATAGAGAGCTCTTCAGGTTTTTATGCCAATTCACTGCCTGTTTATACCGTTTCTTAGGTTTTTAAACAGATTTTGTATTATAAAAAACTTATTATTTATAAGTATTGAGTCGATTAGCGACTGAAGAAACCTTTTTTATTATTTACGAGAGTATTGACTCAAAAACAGAGCCAATATTGAGGTCAAGTGCTCACTGTTTAACACCTCTTCCCTATTAAAAACTGAACGATTAATTAAATTCATTTGTGTTCACAAAATAAAACAGTTTTTTAATACACAAAACAACAAGAAAATAATGAATTCAGTTGTATTTGTGAGCAAATGAGTTGTAACTCCTATTCCCTCAATACAATACTAACAATGAATGTAATGCTTTGTAAATGAGTGTAATATTTAGGTTAAGATTAGATTTTCATTCTCCCTGTTGTAGCCGTACTTCAAATGTACTCCAATGTTAAGCCCATTCGCGATCTAATCAATACATATTTAACATATATTACTAATACCTGTATTGTATTGACTATAACTATAACCCAAGTGGTGGCAGATATTTAAACGCAAGACATGTGTGTCTTTACTTATGGTAACGCCATTTAACACAATATGATAGCGAATCATATATTATGTGCTCACATGACATGAATTATGAATTATTAGGGAATTATATCCGCGATTCAATCCAATTACCAATAATTTTCCAATTAATCGAACTTAAAGTTAACAAAAAGTTTAATTCAAACTTCAAATTATAATTTTGTACGAAAAAGCCCTTCAAACCCTTATAAGAGTCCCTAAAAAGTGTTCTCTAAATCCAATTTTTTGATTGCAAATTATTTTATTTATAATAATTTCTCATTATTTATAAATTCATTTTTATCGAAAGTTTCCATAAAATCGAAATCAAAACATGAAATTCCGTTTGAATTAATGGATTGTTTTTTCCATATTTTTTTATTGCCGAAAAAAAATCTCAAAAAATATAATTTAGTTTTGTTGACTGAATTGTCATCGTTTTTAATATAATTTAATTTCCGATAATTTATTGGTTTCCACTCTATTTTCAATTGTGTTTTACTTTTGTATGCCTTAAACCCCTTTGCGAAGCGTTTAACGCTTTACTCTCTTATTCAACGAAATAATTGTCTGTATTTTCTGTGTTTAAAACTTATTCTCTCGAGTGTTTTGTTTGTCTTATATTTTTTCTTTCATTTCAATTATGTATCGATTTATGATTATTGTGTGCATTAATTTTTAAGAGTAAAGTATTTTCAATTGTGACGACAATTATATATAATTTAAAGTTCAAATCAAATATATTATTACAAACAAATTATATATACATTATTTAACATAAAAAAGTTTTTATATTTTTTTCATAATCTGATGATATTTTGATAATTGAAAACAAGAAAAATATGATATAATATAAGAATATGTGTTGTGTTTTTTATTATAGCAATAATTGATTATTAATTTTGTGCCTTTTTTCTTACAATATTATGATTACTATTATATAATCAATTCATACATTAAAGAGTTCTGTACTTTAATTCATATCTAGTCCGAGAATCCAATAAAAATATGAAACAAATATATTAACATATATTTTGTGTAATTTTATTTCAAAATTCTTTTTACTCTTTGATAAAGATTTTGTTGTTTTTCTTATTTATTATGATTTTGGTTCAAATGTGAGTCAAATTAATTACTTAATAATAACTTATAGGTTGAGAACAATCGTATGCCTCAACCCCTAAGACGACTGAGTGCCACAAATTTTGAGGCAATTATGTTCACTTCAAACACATTATTATTGCATTTGATTCTCAGCTCTAATATAATGAGATCATGAGTTGAGAAAAAATTTGAGAATCACTTCTCGAAACTACTCTTTGGGCCAATCGTTTGGAAGTGTATTTGGATTATTATTTTAAGTTGTTTTGCAGTTTAATTAAGTTATTAAAAATCTGAGTCAATGTATAATTGGATTTTTAATTAACTTTTACTGCAATTTATATTTTATTTTCAGTTAACATACTCTACTCGGCGATAGGACTTCAATGGTATAATTTGTCGTATATTTTGCTTTCCATCTNTTATGTCCCTTTCATTATCAGTCGTCCAAAACTAAATGCATTCATTTCTCTCAATTGTTTTATTCAATATTTACTTTTGTTTCGCTTTGTTTGCAATGAAATTGAAAATTCATTGCAATTAAAGTTATAAACTTTTCAAATGAAATGAATTATTTAAACCAATTGAATAAATAATCTCAAAACAAAGTCTATAAACTATTAATACGTATAATTAAATCATTATATTTTAAATATTCAAATGACTTGTTATTAATAGGAATTAAAAGTATTTCTATTTCTAATAACTCGAAACCGATTGAGTCCTGAATAGGATTTTGGAAATGAGATTTGGTTTCTAAATATAAATTCGTTATCAAAAAGTCAGTCCATTAGTGAAGACAATCAAAAGTGTCGAATCAATCATCGCTTAAGATATTCCTCATTCACCATAAGATAAGTGTATATTTTTGAATCCAAAATCATTGTTCCCCGCCTTCACCGCAAGATTAATGGGTTTTTATTTTGAAATTAGATTTAGATTTATATATTATATTGAATATAAATTATTTAGCCATCAATCAAACCATTGCGCAAAAAAAGTAAAGTTAAGATTAATCTGTGAATTGTTTTTTGTGTTTTGAGTAATAATATTCTGAATGCAACACAAAATAAATGAAATATTCGTTTTCATTGAAAAAATGAGTGATTTTCTTAAAAACTATAGTAAAACTCGTTATTACATAATACATAAGTATATATTATATTGCTAACTTCACGTCAAAATGTTGAAGCATTGAATGGTATTTCATAACCAACTATTGGTTTAGTCAGTAATTTACTGAAAATCAGGTCAAACGCTCTGAGGATTAACGGTTTGGCCGAACAAAGAATGAGAGAAAAAGAAAGTTTTTTCTTTTCATTTCAATACAAATACAAACTATAAATGTTTGACTCAATAGAAAGTCTTTGAGTGAAATTTTCGTGCAAATTGTTTGCTCTCAAGACCTGCTGTTTAACGAAATAAATAGTGTTTTAGACATAAATTATAAAATGTTTAGAAATAGACCGTAAAAAATGTTTTTTCCATAAAAATGTTGAAGTATTTGAAAGAGAGGCCAAAAAGCAATTTTTCAAACGAGAAAATAGCCTAAAGTTTACAATAATTTTCAAACAATAAATTCATGTGTAGTTTAAGCCATACAGCGAACTAAATACTAGTTATTATTTATTTGAACAAATGAACAAATATTTTATTATAGGTATCGATAGTGCTTTGTTGGCAAATATCATAACAAACTAGACTTTGCTCTCAAAATGCGAATACAGTAATGAAAACATAAAAATATTTTTATTGGTTGTGTTCTGAAGGCTGTTAGTGTCCACCAGTGATGCCATTAGAGATGGGAGCAATTGGCTGTGTTTTCTCCAGCTTTTTCTCGGTAGTAATGGGATGTCTGAGCTCTTCGTGCCATTGCGAGCGATCAGAGCATTTGAACTCGAGGTCCATGTGATTAACCGGTGGTAACGATAGTAAAGCTCTCAATACGTTCTCAATGGCCGCCCGCTGTTTGAACAGAGCGTTCACTACTCGTCCGCCCCTTTCCACGAGAGGGGCTTTGCACAGATAGCTCAACAAAGACAGCACTGAATTGAATGACTGGAATCCGGTGGACGACGAGACACCTATTCAGAAGGAGTAGTCGTTTATAGCCGTTATAATATAGAGATAGAGAGAGTCGTAAAGATTATGATCAAGTTTAAAAGATGTTTGTTTAGGCATACAGTTGTGGATCTGAAAGGTGACTCTCTGGCAGAGTTCGGCCAGAATGACCAGATCCAGGATTATAGGCGATGCCAGCAGTGAGTCCTCGCAAGTGTTGTGGACAACGATGGTGTTCCTCCCGCCTAACATTAGTTCACTTACGTACTCATCCATTGCCCGCTTAGAGTCGGCCACATATGGCACGTACTTAATCACCACACAGTGGTCCGGCTTTTCAATGCCCTCCCCATAGAGTATCTGATTGGACGCCACCATATCGTCGACAACATTAGATTTAGAGATCTCTTTGCTTCTGAATTGTTTGGGCGCCGACAGGTTATAGCCGTCATTATTACCCAAATGATTGTACGACACAATAGAGCAGGGCTTGATGCCGGCGCTTACCAGAAAGTCCACTAAAACTGATTTGAACTTTGTTTGACCCGACTTGAAGTCATCTCCAGCTATGAATACGCCCTCCCTTTCAGCCAACTCCACGAGTCCGGCAACAAAAGTGTTTTGTGGCGACCCATTGATATACGTGCACTGAATGTGTGAAATGAGTTGTAATCAATTGAATGAGACATACAGTACATCCAAATTAATGGCATTTAAATCTTTTGGGCAAATATTTGGTTACTTTTTCGAGGATGGCTGCGACGGCATATAATAGGGACGGCGCGAGCTCTGCCTCATTGCGTTTGATGGCATTCATGAGACTGTCGGCGCTGTCATGAATGCCATCCATTACATCCATAAATCTCTCGGTGTTTGCGGTCCACAGCACTACCACTGAGTCCAACGAGTGCTTCGCTTTGAAGTCTCGGATGTCCTCACGAATGAGACTGATTTGTGTCCATTTGTCTCGACTCTCAATCACATTATCCGCTCTCTGGCTCTGATTGGCGGCAATGAAGTCGGAGTCAAATATTGCTTTTCGTGGTCTCATGTCTTGCATAAGTGGTATGAGTTGTGTTTGCAGGTTATAGTCCAACACTTTAGCCCTCTTCATAGCCTCAGCAATACTGACGCCCGATATATCCCAGCCATCGACCACCAAATCGTTGGGATTAACCATTGGAATCATGTCTTTCATCGGAATGTATACATCTTTGCCTAACAAACAAACAAATCGTTTATTTATTATTAGCACTAAATTAAAACTAAATTGTAGTGATAGTAAGCACGAAAAACAAATCTTTTATTAGATTTTAAATTAAAATAAAATAATTTTTTTTATCGATAATTATATTTTTATTTCTAAATATATTCGCAAGCAAATTTGAGTCAAATCACTTGAGGGCTAAACAACAATTTTGTCGACTTTTTCAAAGAAAAATAAACTTTTATTGCTTTTTATTTGATTATATCAGTAAATGTGTTATTAATAAGCAGTCAATCAATCATATGTAAAAACTAAATTCAATATAATATTCATAATTTTAATACTTATGTAATTTAGATTTGGGGTAAAGAAACCTAAATAAGAAAACTTTTTGTTGAATACTTTTATTTTGCTCTTATTTTTGTGGTACTTCTCTATTAGCTTATTATGAGCTCTAATCGCACAACAAATTTGTTTAATAAATTGTATGCCTTTTAATGCTTTCTATATTTAGATGTTTTTAAATACCGTAATAAATCAACATTTTTAAAATAAGTTTTTAATAACTTGAAAAAATATGTTGACATAAGGAATGTATGCCTCACCGGAAGGGTCTGTTCCCAAGAGCACAGTCGACGACTGGGTAATACTGCCGAAGTAGTTGGCCCGTACAGTGCCCTCCTTAGTGGTCCAGTGCATGGCGTGTGTGTTGGCCAGTATGGCACCGGTCACTGTCGACCCGTTGTTTCCTCCCCATCCCACGAGCATTACCCCAGTTTTGGGAACTTTGCGTTCCGTTCTGAATGTCACCACCGTTTTCATGGGATAAACCTATGGTTGCCATCATATCATATACGTCAGCATTGCGTCGTGTGTTATATAATGTCATATAAAAGTAGAGTATTATATACTGTATGTAATATTCATAGAGGACTACATTGAGAGACGAGTTCATCGATTGATGCAGTCTTTGAGCAGACCTTGAATTCTATATATTGTGTCAATCAATGAATTCATTGCATTTTTGTTGCAATTTTTTTACAATAATTATATCATATTATATTTTATAACTCAAAAATAGGACTGACTCTAAGCTAAGCCTCAGACCGAATGTCGAATTAAATTATATGTGATTTTAATAAGCATTAATAATATTGTTTATGATATAGAGTTTATGCTAAATAAACAAACTTCTTTTTGAACAAAAATTCAAAAATCTCTAAAAACCTATTTTTGGTTCAATTTTATCGATCATTTTAGCAGAGATTTAGTGATTAATATCGTATGAAATATAACAAGTTATTAGTGATTTTTATTATGATCTCAATCTAGTTTTACATCATTTTGATGGCAAATATATACACAACAAAAAAGAGATGTTTTGAAGACATGCAAAGATAGAGTATATTTGATAAGCGCTTGCAATTGCACTCACTTTAATAGTACCGGTTCTCTCATCCCTCTTACACTTGACGCTCGAGTATTCATAATCAGATTCAATCATATCGTCATAATAGCGGACATCAGGGCTTTGGATCACAATTCTCGACATAATTGACACTCAATTGATTCAAATGATTGAATTGAACTCGAAATCGATTTAAATATATCGACGAAAATAAATGGATAATAAATATACGCTTGGAATCAAAGTAATGGACAAAAGTTACAATATTTATGACAATAGAATTGGCAGTAAAATTATTTAATGATATTAAATAAAAAAATATATTTAATATAAAATAGATTGAATTTTGTGAGAATTTCAAGTATAATATCAAAGGTATTGAATGTATGTTAAAATGGTTTGAATGACAACACGTTTTTCGGTAGCAATTCGTGTGAATCACAACTCTTTTCACATCTATTTATATAATCGGATGACAACTCGGGTTTACTGTTAGACAGAAAAAAGTGATATCAAGTTCACTATATATTGAATACCTCATCACACATACAGTGCATGTCTGGACCCTTATATTGTATTATTAATAATTCTTGTGAATATAGCACCGGTATATTCTCGCGCCTGACTATTCATATTTTCCACAATTCTCATATTGCCTCCAAATTTGTAATTATTTTTCAAGATATTTCTTAGGAATAAATCAATAATTTGTTTTATAATGTAGTATTTTTAATATAATCAGGAAAATAATTATTGTAAATAAATTTATTTTGTATTTTATACAAATTTATTTATTAATATTTCATAGAATTTTGTTAAACAATTATTTAGTTCATCAAAAATATAAATAAGGCTTAAAAATAATAAAATTGCTAACATAGCACTGTATTGTACAGGATATTGTATACAGTTATTAATTTTATAATAAATGGTCAAAATGTTTTGTAAAATTAAAATATTTCTTAAATTTTATGCAAATGTTTTCTCAATTACATTAACAATAGCTTTATGTTTACCATTTTTATATAAAATATTTTAATATAAAATTGTTTGACATTTAATTAATTTTGATAATGTTTTGGTTATAATGTAATGAATATAAAAAATAAATTTTAACAGAATTTTGCATTTAATTTCAAAGTATTATATTTTGTTTTTGAAGCACTTTTTGTGTTTAACATTTAGCATAATTCATATGAATTGAGAATTAATTAAGTCAGAAAATAATGAATTTGAAGACATTCTTCGGGCGTTTAATGAGTTGTCCTCATATTTGTGGGCAAAATGAGGTAAAGCCTGCATTAAATCGACAAATTATAGTTCATTTTGTTGGCCCACAAAACAACTGTATATTAAGTTATATAGCGTTATAGAGATTAGAAAGTCTCGTATCACTACAATCTAATCGATTTAATATTAAACCATAAGATCGGCAGTATATTAACAAAAATCGATATAAAATACAATTGCATTTTGAGGACAATATGTGAAAGCAAATAAATGGCAGGAAATCTAACAAAAAGCACTCCACTATTGAATGTCATATTCTATTAGTAAATGAATATATTATATGTTTTATTCAAATTAGAATAACATTTCGATTTCGACACCTCTTTTGTTTGACAGGAAATACAGTCCATATGATCACAATCTACACAATGTATAGAATATATCAAGTATTGATTAATACTGTATCTATAGGTCTGTATTTGACATAAATTTGAATAATTTTCTGTTTTATCTATGAGTTTGCATAATATTAGGGTTGGTATGCATCGATAGTTTATGTTTCAAAAATCATTTTTATGTTATCTTATCTGTGAATCAATTAATATTCATTTTTCTTTGGTTTTGATATAAATTCGATAAAAATTAAGCAAAAATTGAAATTTATTGGAGAGTATGAGTACATAAAGATTATTATTATTATTACAGTGGAGTTCATGAGGTGAAGGGAAAATTTTCATCAAACTTTGTACGTTTACATGCATTTTTGACATAATAGCAGTCCCGGTATATACAATTAGATGCCTATTCGATAACATTTAAACCATACGAACAAAACAATTGATTTTTAGTTTTATATGGGAAGAGACGAGTGAATAGTTTTTTAAACTTTGAACCCAAACTCGAGCCAAGAATTTGATTACTTATGAGAAATTGTATCCACCTTTAACTCCAACTTCAAGTTACAATCCAAAGCTGTCATTACATATCGCTGTAAAACACTGTATGAATCGTTTACAGCAAATCAAAGGTTGTGCTGAATTGAAATTTAAATTAATTTTGATTTTTGATGTTTTTGCTGAATTTCTGATGATTTCGTACAATCAGAGAAATCTGAATTCATTTCAATTTATTATAGTTCCGTTTGAAATGAATTTGTTTTTTAAAAGTTTTTCTAGCTGTAATAACTGTTTAGAAATTCATAAAATAATTATCAAAGACTTTGGATTTCGTATCACTTCTGGTTTGATAATGAATTCAATGAAAACTTTTGATTCCATAAGACATCAACAAATAAAATAAAGCAATAAATTACTAGTATTTGAACTTCAAATAAATTATTATTTAATTCAAATTTGAGATCAATTATTAATTATGATACGAAAGTGTTGTTTAAAAATAGTTATTAGAATTGCAATTGAGTTCAATATTCAGAATAACATTCAATGTCTGGTCTAATGAGTTGTCTCAACAAATTGCTAATTTTGAGAAAATTCTTGTTTGCAATGCTTTTTATAACTTAAGTTTGTAGTAATGTTTTTGCAAAAATGTGAATTAATAGAGAAGTTGATATATCTATAATTAAATTCACTTTATATTTTAGGTTCCTATCTATAGTTAAGAATTAACTCATAATTTAATTACAAAATAAGTCATTAAATGTAATGATACTATTAATCGTTAAAATCTGATTTCCATTTGAATGATATTTATATTTATCTAACATTTACGGCATTTGTCTGATAAGTGTCTATGAATTTAGGCTTTAAATTAAGAATATATTGCGAAACAAGATTCACTTGATTTATATGTGATTCACATTAATACTCGACACATAACCAGTTCCACAACACCGGCGCCAATGCAGGTGTCAATCGGAATCAACTCCTATTGTGTTGAGTTTCAAATAAATTGACACAAGAGTTAAGTCAGTGGCAAATGAGAGGTCGAGAAACTCTTCAAACACTGGTTAACAGCAAAACTCTTCACACATTTATGACTTGCGATGGAAGTGGGGTTGAAGTGGAGTTGGAGTTCAAGTTCATGACTTACCTTTTAATTGAAGCTCAAGTATTACATAAAATAAGTTGTCAGTGAATGAGATGAGAGAGAGAGAGAGAGAGCCTTCAAACAACCCTCATATTACAACCACCATTACATTCATTGCAAATCCACTTAAGAATATTAAAAAGCAAAAATTTATTTAATACCAAAATTTAATTCAAATTTATCTGATTATTGTTGATCAGAGTTTTTCATGTGTTTCATACTGTATGTACAGGTATTATATAATGTATTCATTTTTTTGCGATAAACCGTTTTGTAGGATATCTTCCTGACTCCGACGTAACAAAAGTTATATAACACTAAAGTCATGGCATTAAACTATTGGTGATTGATGTGATTCACGAAATTATTGGTTTAAATGTAATTTCGTTTCAATCCATCTCTTGATTATTGTTATTATTTGTTACATATATTTTGATAATATTTTTTTAATATACAAATTATCTTCGATTTTCTTACTTCCCGTCTGACTTTCATTTACATTATATGTCTTATTATATTAAAGATAAGAGAAATTATAAATAAAATTTTTGAAAAGATTTTAAATTAAAAAATTAAAAACTATTTTTATCGTCCTTTTGATTGTATGGGAATATAGATAGTAATAGAATATATGACTTTCTATTAATATAGCAATACTCTTATCTTTTTTAACTATAATTAACAATTTGTATGTATTTTAAGAATAATTAATAACAATTTAAAACTTTGTAAATTATAATTAATAATTAATTTCCAGTTTTCTGTTTACCTGTGATTATTTAAAAAGATAACCTAAAAATCATATTTAATTATATTTTTAATTTCTTACTCGTTATAATACTATAACTTTTTAAAGTTAAAATAAAAATTATATTTAAAGGTTTTATTAATTACCAGCAATAAGGGTAAGGATGCTCTCACATCAAAAAATATATTTTGTGATTAAACTCAAGATTACGTAAAAGTGAAATTGTTTTATTTTATTATTAGAGCTGTATCTTTACGTGTAGAAATATAACTTTATTTTTGGTTAAAATATTAATTATAATTTTCAAAGCATTTATTTTGCATAATCTGTTAGAGTGTATTACAAATTCTTTTAATTTTAGTTTTTAAACAAAATTGCATTTACAATTAATATAAATGGTTTATAATTAAGTGGAGGCCTTCTGTTCATACTGTTATGACAGCCTATTCTTTACAGTCGGCGCACATCTGGTTGTCTGCAAAACGTAGACCTTTTATGAAACATTTTTATGATTCACAACAAGTATTTAAGACAGAAATGTTTTTATATACTACTTGTCAGTCATTCCGAGTGAATAATACGAGTCCTATAATTAGATAATTATTGCGTTAATAATTACACTTCACATACAAGACAAGGGGGCCGGGAGTATATGCCGGCGCATCGACTGTGCCTTTGGATGTAATGGAAATGTCATGAAGAATGCGATGAACTTTAAAATGTGCTTAAATGGGAAAATCAATTCAATAATAAATAGATATAAATAGAAATTTTCCGAAAAAATGATGAAAACTTTAATTTAACGTATAGTCGGAGAAAAACTCAATTATAAACTCAATTAAATTTTTACAATAATTAATGTTTGAATTTTATACAAAAATAGAAGTTTTGTGTGAAGATAATGTGAACAAAAATGGTAAATCAAAGTATTAAGTAATAAAAAGTATGAAAATGAAGTCAAATGAAAGTACGATAAACTAGATTTGGGGTCAAAATCAATATTATTTAAACACACGAAACACATGGAGAGACACATAAAAACAAATTTAAGTAAAGTTCGCATAAATTGTTTTTAGCCACTCATTCACATGAATGTTATTATTAATGGTTTATTTAAATTGATTTTGTGTTTAATTTTTGGTCTTATTTCTCAAATATAAGTAAAAATAGAATTTAATGAAATTTTTTTTATTTATAAATAAAATGTTGTAATCTTTGGAAATTTAGTTATAAATAATGGTTTTAATCACTTTCTATCGGTTCGATCGGTAAATAAATTCTTAATCGAAAAAATTCAAATTAATTAAATTTTTTTGATTTTCTGTAAAAACTGATTAATGAGAGAAAACAAGATTTCGAGAGAAAAATAGTAATACAAAAGAAAAAGTTTATGAAACTACACTAAAAATAGAAAATTATTGATTTATATTTATGGCTAATAAATCTTATCCTTAAACACATTAAATGCAAATTAATATTCAATTGAATTCACTTTTTCTCGTCTTGAGAAAGAGAGTCAAGTCGTGAGCGAATAGAAAATGTTGAATACATTCCTCTCAAGTCTGTACTGTATATTCAAAATCAAAAGTTTTCTGACATCAAGATTTGAAAACAACTCTCTGTCTGTTGGATATCATCGATAGAGTGGTAACAAAAATACTTAACACATAAGTATGAGTGCAGTCTTCATAAAAGTAATCATTTATTATTTAATATATTTTTTCTTTATATTTGTTTTTCCCAAACGAGAACTCACGAGAAATGGAGAAAATAATAGTAATTTTCAATTTTCATTCCCTAAATAAAAGTTAAATTTTATTATTATTTTTTAAAATTAAGATATTTTTTGTTTTATATTTAAAATACTTAAGCTAGGTTTAGGTAAGAAATATATTGACAAAAATTCTTTTCGGTAATTTAGAAACTAAATCATGCGCCTTTTATTATTATGATTATTATTATAGGAAGTTTTACTTTTAAAAATTTTAAGTCAATTAAAAATAATGGTTTAAAATAGATATTGAATGTTTGAAAGAATTTAATTCGTTGACTAAATGCAGCATAATGTATACCAATCAATATATTTAGATATATTGAGTCTCTGTTAAATATATTAAAAGTTTTAAATTGTGTAATTTTTATGGTTAAATATGTTTCAAGTGAATCGTCGGTTTGATATCAAAGAAAAAGAGCCTAAAGCTTATAATTAACAAATTTTTGAGAGTATTTGACTTAATGACTGATTTCTTACGCTATGAAAGGTTTCACTAAATGATAGAATAAAGGGTTGGACAACATTTTATTAAATGCTCAAAGGGTTTACACCTGTTCCCCTCATCATTTCAAAGACTTTTATAATTTATTAGTCATTTGCGAAATTAATTTCTGCAATTTATTACCAATTGTTTCGCTACTAAACTGTTGAATCAAGTAATCAAGTGATCCAAACATAAAGACTATTCCTTATCGCCCATTCTATTCATGGGGTGAAGGTTTGTAATGATTGAAATGTTCAAACATTTATTTAGAATTTTGTAAAAATTAATTCAAATTATAGCATTTAATGTAAATAACATTATGTATAATTTTTGATTATTTCCAACAAAAATTCAAATAAGGGCTGAATTTGCAAGAATTAAACCATAACCTCTATTAACTAATGTATTGTAAGATAAATAATGTTTAATAAAATTTGTATTTGAACCAAATTTAGACAAAAGTCAGAATAAATTTAAATAATTATTCTTTAAATAGTTTTGAGTTTCGAGTATTGCTATAAATCTTAACTCAAATGTTCGGAAATATTATTAATTTAACATAAGTTTACAATAGAATATAAATTCAACAATTTTTTGTTTGAATAATAAACAACTTCTCATTATATAAAATAAATGTAATAAATTCTCTTTTAGTACTTAATAAATGCTATTTATTATTTTTTAACCTCTGATGAAATGAAAGTTGATTTGAAATTCGTTATAATAAGTAAATTTACTTTTAATTAATTCACAAAATATAAGTCAAACGAGTGTTAATTTTATAAAAAGTATTAATAAATTCTTTTTCAATTATAATTAGGAAATGTCAAAAAGTTTCTCAAATGTTAATTTGTTTAATTTTAAGACCTAATTATTTAAAACTAAATCAATTATAAACAATACAAATAAAATGAAATTACAAAATAATTAATATTGTAAGTAATGAGTGAAGGAAAAGAGATTCAAAATTTGTTTTATAAAATTTCAAAATATTTGGACAACAACTAAAACAAATTAATATTTTAGCACTTTTAGCACTTTATCATGTTAAATTAAAATAATTAAATAAATGTCTTACTCATAAAAAAGTTTTTATATAAGTTTAAAAAGGTATAAAAAAGTTTCACTAAAAATGTTATTTAGATAAACGATAATTATCATGACAGTATAAATGAGATTCAGTTTTGAGAGATTATTTTACAGATCAAACAATGTTTTGTATTATTGATGCTTAAATGTGACCACAATTATAAATACAAGCGATAAGAATGCAGTGATAAGTGTTGGGAATGAGATGCGAACGGATTGGGAACCATTACAAGAATCTTCAGCGCAATAGCATTCCTCCCAATAGACACCGTTCTCGTTGTAACCCCAATCACAACCCCATGAGATACCTGGATATCGATTCAATTATAAATATTAATATAATTGATTGGTTTTAAGCACATGTTATGGTTATTAATGAATCCAATGAATATGTGGGTTATATTACCTCTTTCGCTGACTTGAGCGCACCGTCTGATAACAGTCCTCCACCTGCCGTCCCATATGAAACCTCTCGGCCCTTGTTTTATTGATTTGAAACAAAACGTACCTACGATTGCATTTAGATATAGTCAATGGCTTAGTCCAAACAATTTACTAATAATTGGTAAATAACACAAAGTAACTTATTAGGACTGTATTTGCTTGTATTGACTCGATACACGGTACACGGTACATTGTACAATATTGATATCATTAGAAAATATACCATTATAAGTTACTTTAATTTCTAATACACATCAGTAACATAATTAACTAATGATCTAAAATCTCAAACTCTTAAATTAAATACTTTAATAATTAATAATTTATATGTCTA